GCGGGTTTTTATCAATTTCAGATAACAAACTTTATCATAGATAAACATCCAAGAGCGAAAGCCGTTGAGTAAAGACCACTTAATCCATTTTTTTCATTTTACACGACACAGGAATGGTTTAAATAAGAGTGGATACTGTTAGAATTAAATCATGCATATGGCTGTATTACTTTGTCTTAAGTTATTCTCGGCTTTACTCCTCGATAACTCATCTACTCGAATGATTCCCTTCCGACCGAGTTAAAGTGACGAGCATTCGTAATGATTGCAGTTTAAAGATACTGATCCGGATATTTTAGTCGAGATATGCCCGCTTTAGTATCGTTAAGAGAAAGCAATTTTTAGTCTACCGCGCTGAGGTAAAGCGGCGATTTTATTCAATTCTTGAGTGATAACTTTGTCGTGGAGAGACATGCAAGAGCACAATTTTCGCTGATTTCATGGTTTACAACCACTTATTCGAATTTTTTTTAAATGTATACATAACACTTGGATAATTTGAACGGTAAGCGATAGAAATTCAGGCTGTGGGAATTGATTTATCTGTTGTGTTTCGATTCTAACAATCTTGAAAGATTAAGTGAATGATCTCTGACTTACGCTATGAATTTTCTGTCAGTCATGCTTGTAGGCAAGTTTATCCGTCTGCTGTGTTTCTCATTGTTGAAAGATTACGAATTTGTGAGGTAGACATGAACACTTTTGTCTCAGTATGGTCATATAATCGTTCTTCCGTTACGTTCTTACCATACAATAAGGCAAGTTTATCTATCTGCTTTGTCTCCCTATGCTGAAAGATTGTCAATTTGTCATCATAAAATGAGGTAAATTAATCCTGCGATTTGTGTTGGTAACAGTTGCTTTGCTCCAAGGGCTTTAAGTTACTATTATAAATGTTACTTTTCATAGTTGTCGTGGTTCTTATCTCTTTTTCTGAGAGAACTTTGTTCATATTTTATGTAGCTTAGGGGAAATGCAATGGCAACAAATTAAGTTGACTTGAAATATCAATTGACCAAAACTTTGTCATTTCGTCGAGCATTGTGGATTTGACTAGTTATTCACGGTTATTATAACATTAATTGTCAATTAAGTATCATCGTTTCATCTTCATCATTTTGCGAATTAACTTGTTGTGTAGCAAGATAGCCCTTAGGTAAATCCAAACGTTGTGATTAGTTCTAACTTGGTCTGTATTTTTCCATAAGGACTGTTTCCACGGCACCTTCTGGAGCCAATTCTTTCCTAAGAGAGAGTGAAAATTGGCTGCTATTTTGTGGCCAATTAAGGTAAACTTTTGGTCCAAAACAATGTAGATTAATGGCTAAATAGGCCTCATATGGTCTGAAACGAGGCTTGTGACAGAACTAAAATAATTATGATATAATGTAAAATGGCCTCACTTGCGCCATTTCATATATGCACCATGTGCTTAAATGGCTTAATATATATATATATATATATATATATATATATATATATATATATATATATATATATACACTATCTTTTTGGGTGTACGTGTCTCTTTTTGACGAGGAAAGAAAGTTATATGTCTTTAATATATATTTCCAAATTTGCAACGTTTTGGAAACAGGTTTAACAGCTTCAATCCTAAGTGACATATACCTTGATCACAGTAGTGTAGAGCAAGCGGAAAAATTAATCATTAAAAGAATTGCACCTACATGTATTGTTAAATAATTAATCATTGTCTAAAAGAGGATTCCTCAGCCAAAAAGGCTTCAATCCTTACTTGGCATATACTTTGATCACAGTACTGTAGAACAAGGGGGGAAAAGTAACAAATGAAATTGATAGCACCTACATGTACTGTAAATATTTATTCAATACTTAATGGTAAGGGTTTATCAGCAAAAAGCCTCACTCCTAACTAGCATATCCCTTGAACACAGAAGTGTATAGCAAGGAAAAGACTAATCAGTAGATGCACTGCACCAACATGCCCTGTTAATGATTAATCAATACCTAACAGTAGGGATTCCTCAGCAAAAAGCTTCCCTTCTAATCGGCAATTACCTCAGTCTATTACGGTGGTTTTGGGCAATAGAAAAATGTAATCATTAAAGGCACTGCACGTACATGTCCAGTAGAATGATCAATCAATCCCTACCGATTAGGATTCCTCAGCTAAAAGCTTAACTTGGAACTGGTATATACCTTAATCACGGTGGGGTAGAGCAAGAGAAAAATTAATCGATATAAGCATTGCACATCCATGTACTGTAAAATGATAAATCTGAGCCTAACAGTAACAATCCGTCATCGCAAAAAATGCTTCACTACTAACTGGCTCATACCTTGATCACAATAGCGCAGAGCGAAGGAAACAAATAATCATAAGATGCACTGCACCTACATGTACAGTGACTGATCAATCAATGCCTCACAGTTTGGATTCCTTAGCCAAAAGCTTCACTCCTAACTGGCATATGCGTCATAAGAGTGTAGAGCAAAGTAAAAAAAACAAAAAGTAATGAGATGCACTGTACCTAATATAACTGTAAAATGGTCAATCACTTTCTAACGATAAGGATTCCTCACCTAAAAGCTTTACTCCTAACTGGCATATACCTTGATCAACATAGTGCAGAGCAGAGTACAAAATTAGTCATTCGATGTATTTTTCATACATGTACATTGATCACAGAACATTAAAGAGAGGAAAAAATTAATTATTAGAAGCATTGCAGCTACTTATGCTATAAATGGTAATCTATACCTATAACAGTAAGGATTCCTAAGCTATCATCTTCCCCCCTAACTGGCACATACCTTGATCACACTCCTTACCGGCACTTATGTTGATTAAAAAATTAAGCATCAGAAACAGAGAACCTACAATATTTCAATATGATCAATCAATGCCTAACGATAAGGATTCCTCGGCTAAAATCTTCACTCCTAACTGGCAAATACTTTGATCACAGTTGTGTAGGGAAAGGGAAAAAAAAGGACTGCTCCAACAATGTGCTGTGGTTGATCAATCAATGAGTAACAATAGAGATCCACAGCTAACAGCTTTACTCCTGACTGACATATACCCTGATCACAGTAGTGTAGAGCAAGGGGAAAATAAACCTAAAAAAAGCAGTCCTATGAGCACTGTAAAATTATTAACAAATACCTGACAGTATGGATTGATCAGCTGAAAGCTTCACTCTTAAGTGGCTTATACCTACACCACAGTAGTGTAGAGCAGGTAAAAATTAATCATTAGAAACACTGCATCTAAATTTACTGGGATATACTTTGATCACAGTAGCGTAGATCATGGGAAAGAAGAAAATGATCATTTGAAAATGATTCGATCAATCAATGAAATAAAAGCGTTTAAAAGTAAGAATCTCCCAGAAAGATATTTTTCTCCAAACTGACATATACCTTATTCGAGTTTTGAGGCTTCTACCTCAGGCAGATATATTCGTGAACAACTTCGATCATTTGCTAATGAATACTGTTAAAGTGGGAATAATTCATACAATATACATGATTAAAATGAAACAAAAGTGAAAAATAACGTTTGACTATGAAGTCAAAATATGAGATTCCAGTTCATTTAACTGCCTTTAAGCCTTAAAACAATATGCAAAACCCTGGTGTGAGTGTAAATATCTCTAACACACCAACTCATTATTCAAGTAGATGGATCATGTTTAGACAGATGTTGATCCTTTTTCTCCTTATTTCACAAACTTATTCGCAGCAGTAGCTAAAAGTCACTTGATCTCTCTTTGAAAGCAAATTTTCCCGCCAGATCCTAATGGGACACAGGGCGTCATATAAGACAAAGTTAGTCGCGTTTGGAACCTCTTTCCTTATCCAGCAACATTTATATGCCTTTTCACTACTTTCGGTCACAATATAACCACGACTTTACTGCATTACCTCCTTGTAATAATATAGTCAAAACAATAATAGCTCTTTGACATACAACAGCACAAATCCATGCTGGTGGACAATGCTTGAATTCGATCTAACACTAAGGAGCTCTCTACCTCTCCAGGACTTCTTCAACGTGAAAAAAAGGCAAATTGATCCGACCATTACAAAGGATAACTTCCTTTAAGTATTTGCTTATCTACTACAGAGGGAAGCAAATCCAAATTAAGGGGACCCCCCCTGGTGATAAGCTCTGAAAATAGAAAAAAAATTCTGGCTGAACATTTAATTCTGTTTTCATAGTAACACACGAGAAGCAATAGGTTATGAAAACATTTAAAGAGACAATACCTTCGTGACTGAGTTGTTTAACAACATTATGCAATTTTTCATTCAGGTCTTCCCATTCATTTATTGCCTTAACCATAAATTCCTTTCTCTCTCTACAAGGGAAGGATTTCTATGTGAGGTTGTAGTTAAATTAAGTTTCGAAATCCGAATTTGAAACACTTTCGCTCTTTTTGAAATTTACAGAATTATTTTTTCTCAACTTTAAGAATTACGAGACTTGACAACCGCTTTCAAATGATCTCTGCCCCATTCGCGTTATATCGTACGCAGTCATACTTTTTCTAAATCCAAGTGTTCTTACATGACGGGCGCCTTCATTTCTTAAGAGTGATACTGCAGCTTTTTTGATTGGCTTCAAAACCCGGTCAGTTTTTACGGCTAGGCACAACAAGGAAAAAATATACTTTATCGTATATATGCAATACAGAGGGCTCAGATTAAAAGCTTCTTCCGGCCTCGTTGTCATGCTTCTTTCCCTTAGCCGTTACACAAAAAATTATTTGTGAAGCGTTACCTCCACTTTAACTCGTTCATGTTGACTATGAAACGGAACTCCATTCCCTGGACGCAAAGGAATCATTATGATACGAAATAAATGGGAAATCAATATCTGTTTATAAATTTACATCTTTAATCCATTGGAGAAAGTAACATGAAGCCGCCATAAATCTACTTCAGAATGACCTTAGCTATGCTTGCATGACTAAGGAATCTGATAAATTATTCATATACATTTGCCAGTCTGACACGAAACTGTCTGAGAAGTGTTAACTTTTCGATCAGTTCCGTCGATTCACAAACTACTTACGAAGTAATATCGTGTGTCTTCAAGGTCTTCTTCACCGAGTCAAGTACAGACGTTTTCATTTTAAAGAGAAAGTGAAGGTGAGTAAAGTAATTCTGTAGTCGACTGTAGACGTTAAGGAAGACGAAAGCGCCGAGCATTATTCCTCCGGTGTGATTTTAACCGAGACAAAGCGAGTTTTTATCAATTTCAGATGACTAACTTTATCATAGATAAACATCCAAGAGCGAAAGCCGTTGATTAAAGATCACTCAATCCATTTTTTTCATTTTACACGACACAGGAATGGTTTAAATAATAATGGATACTGTGAGAATTAAATCATGTATATGGCCGTATTACTTTGTCTTAAGTTATTCTCGGCTTTACTCCTCGATAACTCATCTACTCGAATGATTCCCTTCCGACCGAGTTAAAGTGACGAGCATTCGTAATGATTGCAGTTTAAAGATACTGATCCGGATATTTTAGTCGAGATATGCCCGCTTTAGTATGTTTGGTTAAGAGAAAGCAATTTTTAGTCTACTGCGCTGAGGTAAAGCGGCGATTTTATTCAATTCTTGAGTGATAACTTTGTCATGGAGGGACATGCAAGAGCGCGATTTTCGCTGATTCCATGGCTTACAACCACTTAGTCCAATTTTTTAAAATGTATACATAACACTTGGATAATTTGAACGGTAAGCGATAGAAATTCAGGCTGTGGGAATTGATTTATCTGTTGTGTTTCGATTCTAACAATCTTGAAATATCAAATGAATGATCTCTGACTTGCGCTATGAATTTTCTGTCAATCATGCTTGTAGGCAAGTTTATCCATATGCTATGTTTCTCATTGTCGAAAGATTATGAATTTGTGAGGTAGACAGGAACACTTTTGTTTCAGTACGGTCATATAATCGTTCTTCCGTAACGTTCTTACCATACCATGAAGGCAAGTTTATCTATCTGCTTTGTCTCTCTAAGTTGAAAGATTATGAATTTGTCATCATAAAATGAGGTAAATTAATGCTGCGATTTGTGTTGGTAATAGTTGCTTTGCCTCAAGGGCTTCAAGTTATTAAAATAAATGTAACTTTTCATAGTTGTCGTAGTTCTGATCTCTTTTTGTGAGAGGACTCGAAGGGATATCAGTATTTGTTCACATTTTATGCAGCTTAGGGGAAACGCAATGGCAACAAATTAAGTTGACTTGAAATATCAATTGACCAAAACTTTGTCATTTCGTCGAGCATTGTGGATTTGAATAGTTATTCATGGTTATTATAACATTAATTGTCAATTAAGTATCACCGTTTCATCTTCATCATTTTGCGAATCAACTTGTTGTGTGGCAAGATAGCCCTGAGGTAAATCCAAACGTTGTGATTAGTTCTTACTTGGTCTGTATTTTTCCATAAGGGCTGTTTCCACGTTACGTTCTGAAGCCAATTCTTTCCTAAGAGAGAGTGAAAATTTGCTCCTATTTTGTGGCCAATTAAGATAAACTTATGGTCCAAAATAATGGAGGTTAATGGCTAAATAGGCCTCATATGATCTGAAACGAGGCTCGTGACAGAACTAAAATAGTTATGATATAATGTAAAATGGCCTCACTTGAGCCTTTTCGTATCTGCACCATGTGCTTTAATGGCTTAATATATATATATATATATATATATATATATATATATACACTATCTTTTTGGGTGTATGTGTCTCTTTTTGATGAGGAAAGAAAGTTATCTGTCTTTAATATATATATCCAAATTTGCAACGTTTTTGGAACTGGTTTATACTTTATAAAATGGTAATGGAACTGAGTGGAGTGCAATTAGGTCTTAAACACATGCGTAATTTCAAAATCAAACAAGTGCATGCATGCACGAAAAAAGATGCGATTTAGTGCAAAAAATGGTGCAATAAGTGAAAAAATTGCTCCAATCAAAGCCAACCAGTTTGCAAGGATCACCAGTGATTTTAAAATTTCAAAATATATGTAGTAGGTAAACATATATATATATATATATATATATACATGCAAACACATATACACCCGTTTTCAAATAAGTACAAATACATACGCATTATTTCTTTATTCCCTAGCTGCTGACAGAACAAATTACAGGTGCAATTTTTCAAAACTAAAGTACAATTGTTGCTAAAAAAAAAAAGGCATTGTATTTTTGATGTGAAATATGTATGTATCGTGCATCATGGCTTTTTTTTTCCTTCCCTTATTAAAGCTTTTATTACAAACACTATGGATACAATGAAACGATACTGTTGAACGATCAATCTGAGCATAACAGCTACGATTCATCAGCAAATGAGGTTTCACTACTTACTGGCATATACCTTCATCACAATAGTGCAGACCAAAGGAAAAATTAATCATAAGATGCACTGCAGCTACATGTACTGTAAACACACACACACACATCTATATATATATATGTATATATATATATATATATATACAGACACATGTACACCCGTTTTTAAATAAATACAAATATATACGCATTTTTTCTTTATTCATCAGCTGCTGACAGAACAAATTATAGGTACAATTTTTCAAAAGTAAAGTACAATAGTTGCTGTCTAAATAAAAAAAAAACATTGTATTTTTGATTTGAAATATACATGCATCGTGCATCATGGCCTCTTTTTTCCTGCCCTTATTAAACTTTTGTCACGAACACTATGGATATATCAGTTACAGAAAATAAATTACCAAAAGATTACTGACGGAATACACTTACATGCAAGACATAATGAAGCTATACTTCAATCTGTAAGTTACAAGTATTACATAATTTACTGACAAAATAGTTTTTTCTTCAATTTCCACTTAAAATTTTTTCTCCCGATGACAAAAGTGACATGCCAATTTTTCAATGTTATAGTGAAACTTTAGGTAGTGCGTCTGTAAAATCGGAGTTATGTCCTTTCATCTTACATTTTATATAAAAACGTAAAAAAAAAAAAAATCCAGTTAAGTTGCATTTTTACAAGGCAAACAGATTGTGTAGTCAAAGAAAACAGATTCAAGGGAGAATTCAACCTTAATTTTTACTACTTTCCCAAATCCAATTAGTTAGAGCGCTCCAAAAATTAATAATTAGAAGCCTTGTACCTACATATACTGTAATATAATCAATCAATGGCTAACAGAAAGGATTCCCCAGCTAAAAAAAGCTTCAATCTTAACTGACATATACCTTGATCACAATAGTGTAGAGCAAGGGGAAAAATTAATCATTAAAAGAATTGCACCTACATGTATTGTTAAATAATTAATCAATGTCTAAGAGAGGATTCCTCACCTAAAAAGGCTTCAATTCTTACTTGGCATATACTTTGATCACAGTACTGTAGAACAAAGGGAAAAAATTAACAAATGAAATTGATAGCACCTACATGTACTGTAAATAATTAATCAATACTTAATGGTAAGGATTTATCAGCAAAAAGCCTCACTCCTAACTGGTATATCCCTTGAACACAGAAGTGTATAGCAAGGAAAAGACTAATCAATAGATGCACTGCACCAACATGCCCTGTTAATAATTAATCAATACCTAACAGTAGGGATTCCTCAGCTAAAAAGGCTTCAATCCTGACTTGGCATATACCTTGATCACGGTACTGTAGAGCAAAGGGAAAAAATTAACAAATGAAACTGATAGCACCTAAATGTACTGTAAATATTTAATCAATACTTGATGGTAAGGATTTATCAGCAAAAAGCCTCACTCCTAACTGGTATATCCCTTGAACACAGAAGTACATAGCAAGGAAAGACTAATCAGTAGATGCACTGCACCAACATGCCCTGTTAATGATTAATCAATACCTAACAGTAGGGATTCCTCAGCAAAAAGCTTCCCTTCTAATCGGCAACTACCACAGTCTATTACGGTGGTTTTGGGCAATAGAAAAATGTAATCATTAAAGGCACTGCACGTACATGTCCAGTAGAATGATCAATCAATCCCTACCGATTAGGATTCCTCAGCTAAAAGCTTAACTTGGAACTGGTATATACCTTAATCACGGTGGGGTAGAGCAAGAGAAAAATTAATCGATATAAGCATTGCACATGCATGTACTGTAAAATGATAAATCTGAGCCTAACAGTAAAAATCCGTCATCGCAAAAAATGCTTCACTACTAACTGGCTTATACCTTGATCACAATAGTGCAGAGCAAAGGAAACAAATAATCATAACATGCACTGCACCTACATGTACAGTGACTGATCAATCAATGCCTCACAGTTGGGATTCCTTAGCCAAAAGCTTCACTCCTAACTGGCATATGCGTCATAAGAGTGTAGAGCAAAGTAAAAAAAACAAAAAGTCATGAGATGCACTGCACCTAATTGAACTGTTAAATGGTCAATCACTTCCTAACGGTAAGGATTCCTCACCTAAAAGCTTTACTTCTAACCGGCATATACCTTGATCAACATAGTGCAGAGCAGAGTTCAAAATTAGTCATTCGATGCATTTTTCATACATGTACATTGATCACAGAACATTAAAGAGAGGAAAAAATTAATTATTAGAAGCATTGCAGCTACTTATGCTATAAATGGTAATCTATACCTATAACAGTGAGGATTCCTAAGCTATCATCTTCCCCCCTAACTGGCACATACCTTGATCACACTCCTTACCGGCACTTATGCTGATCACAGTAATGTAAAGCAAAAGAAAAAAAATCAAGCATCAGAAACAGAGAACTTTCAATATTTCAATATGATCAATCAATGCCTAACGATAAGGATTCCTCGGCTAAAATCTTCACTCCTAACTGGCAAATACTTTGATCACAGTAGTGTAGGGAAAGGGGAAAAAAAGGACTGCTCCAACAATGTGCTGTGGTTGATCAATCAATGAGTAACAATAAAGATCCACAGCTAACAGCTTTACTCCTGACTGACATATACCCTGATCACAGTAGTGTAGAACAAGGGGAAAATAAACCTGAAAAAAGCAGTCCTATGAGCACTGTAAAATTATTAATAAATGCCTGACAGTATGGATTGCTCAGCTGAAAGCTTCACTCTTAAGTGGCTTATACCTACACCACAGTAGTGCAGAGCAGGTAAAAATTAATCATTAGAAACACTGCATCTAAATTTATTGGGATATACTTTGATCACAGTAGCGTAGATCATGGGAAAGAAGAAAATCATTTGAAAATGAATCGATCAATCAATGAAATAATAAATCAACGTTTAAAAGTAAGAATCTCCCAGAAAGATACTTTTCTCCAAACTGACATATACCTCAATCACATAAAGTATGAGTATCGGAATACTTATGCATACTTGCTTAAGATGCAGCTCACCAATGCCTTTATTCCTCAGTAGCCATCTTAACTGAGTTAATACGCGTGCGTAAGTGAGTCAACCTGAGTGAGGCATCCGTCACTCAGATCAGTGGCACTAACTCACCGTCAGATTGCATTCAAGGGATTTTTTGTTTATTCTCAGGCATTGTGAAACATGGCAAGTACTACCCAAGCCGGTGAAAGAGGAAATCTAAGCGAGAGCATAAGAGAACCTCCGGAACTTAGAGAGACATTGAAAGTGCTTGAGATGAAGGATCTCCCCCCAAAGACAACGCCTTGGGAAGACATCGAAAAAAAATTCTTGCCAGTTGATTTTCTGCTGTTAACAGCAAAGGAATGTGAACACCTAAGTTGCCTCTCCTTTCTCGACGACATTAAGATGGGTTGTCACCCCAAGCTCGGCCCTGTGAATTTTGGGTTTAATAGCTCAAAATTAAAAATTGCCGTGATTAGATGCTCTATGGGTTCCAGCAGCCCTGGTGGCTCCACAGTTGTAGTCAAAGAAGCAGTTCCAATCTTAAGGCCCAAAGCGGTCATCTGTGTGGGTTACTGTGCTAGCATGGACGAGAAGAAAGCTAAGCTTGGTGATGTCATTGTATCTGCCAAGTTGATAACCTGCGCTTTAAACAGGGTGGGGGAGAACGGGATCGAAGAACAAGGCGAAATTGTTCCTCCACAGCAGCGTATGGCTAAACTCATCAAGCTTGCCGGGGCAGGTTGGAAAGCACCTCTAAAAAACCCAGAAGACCTAAAAGTGACAGTACGCAATGATGGCGTGCTACTAAGTGGCCCTACTGTGCTTGATAACCCAGAACTCAAAAGGGAATTAAAGAACCGATTTCGCCAGGCAACTGCCATCGAGATGGAGGGTGAAGGTATTGTTTAAAGTACTCCATAACCTTATTTAGAGCCCTAGATCCCATAGACGCTATTGCAGAAAAAAGTAATCTATTTAAGTTGTTATAATTTATCTAAGATTTTTCTTTGAGCTGCGTGCCATCAGCAGTTCTTTATATTTTGTTTGTTGTGTATTTTTGTTGATAAGGAAGCAAAGCGTGCCCTTTGCCTTCTTGGGCTTTGCATGCTGGAATGAATGACATAACACGTGAAACATATGCTAAAGTAGACGCTCTATGCAAATATATGGAGGAAACGAAAAAAATAGTTCCCCTAAATCCTTGAAGGTTTGCGTACAGCACTGAGCACTGGCATTGCAGCGAATCGTCAAAGTTTATAATTCGTTCCTCCACTGTTTTTCCAAACTCACTGCGTTTTATCGTGTTCTTACAGAATTTCAACTCCTCTTTAGGTCTCTACGCAGCCGCTCATAACCATGGAATTGAATGGTTAATTGTCAAAGGAGTTTCAGACTTCGGCGATGGTAGCAAATCAGCAACTGATTCTTGGAGGCCATTCGCAAGTGTGATGGCAGCTTCACTTGTTGCGCATATGCTAAATGACACCATTGCGTTCGAGAAATGGCGCCACTATGAAGGTAAGTAATTCTGATATATGATACTTTATGTTACTTTATGTGAATTAGTATTGTTTATTTCTCATGTTGCGGCAGCATGCTGCTAGTCTTCAGTTATTGATGTGGTCGATTATTGATTATTGATGTACCCACGACCTACCAGACGTGATTCTCTGCCGCGATTGGTTTAGCTTTAATCAGCTGTTGGTGGAATATGCATGAAGCATCTGTTGTCTATAAGTGTGTGTATCTCTGTTCGTTTTCAGTCTGAGAGGAGCCAGTGAGGTATCAATAAGTACACTTTGCGCTTCCTATCTATCTCCATCACCCACGCTGTTCCTCCCCCTCCCCCCTTCCTTCCCTGAGCATGAAAACTTTACGATAGGGTGACGCTTACGTTTTATTTGATTTATTAGGCATTCCTGTTAATCACCTTTAAGCCCCGAAATCCACACAATACGCTCCGGCCGCCTGTGCATGAGCCAACCTATTTGAACAAAGACGGTTTTGGTCAGTTTTTATGCATAAAGGTGCCTTTTAACTCTTCACCAACGATGAACCCATACTTTGGTTTGATCTATTCTAGTTGAGAGGATAACTGAAAGTGGTCTTTTTGAGCCCCTTAATTATCCAGTGAAATACGAAATGCAAAATGGTTAACTGTAGGTACAATTTCTTGTCATTTTATCCAGACAATTCGGATGTTGAAGATGATTCTCCTTCTCGGTCATCATCTTCTCCTTCCGGTTCAGACCCTAAAAGAAAGAAAGCGACAGCAGGTAATAATGTTTAATTTTTAGGTACGCTGTTGTAAGAATATGCCTCCCTAAGAGTTTTGTTAAGTAGCAAGGAACAAATTAATTTCAACATTTGTCGAAATATTTTGTGTTCGTAGCCCATATTAGCGAGTTGCATGGCTGAAAAGAACATGTCTTTAACCAGAGTATGAAATGCAAGTGATTCCGGGTAGCGAGAAGGGAGGGAGGAAGAAAGAGAAGGACGAAGAAAGAGAGGAAAGGAGAAATTGAAGGGAAGAGAGAGAGATATGGGATGGATGGGGAGAGGAAGAGAGAAAAAGGGGGAGAGAGAGAAAGGGGGAGGGAGAGAAAGGGGGAGGGAGAGAAAGGGGGAGGGAGAGAAAGGGGGAGGGAGAAGGAGGAAGGGAGAGAGGATGAGAACGAGAGAAGAAAGGAAAAAGAAAGCAGAGAAGAAGGAGGGAAAGATAAAGAAAAGGAAAAGTTGAGGGGAGTGAAGGTACCATTAAATGGAAGAGGAGAGGACAAGGGGGGCTGGGAGGGGGGGAGGGAGGAACAACGGAGAGAAGGCTGAGAGGGCAGAGGAACGGAGGGAGGAAAACGGGAAAGGGCGATTAGAGGACAGAAGGGAGGCAAGGAGAAACAATTTGACAGAAGGAAGGAAGGAAGGACAAAGGAGATGAAGGAAGGAAAGGAGGGAGGGAAAGAACAGTGGAGGTGGGCAGAGTGTAACTCTAATTCACTCACGTCTTTTAGGAGAATCTTACGCAGAGGATGCACAGCCCGGACCTTCAAATCAAGGGGAACCGGGATCCATACGACCCGGTGATAAAGCGCCTACTACTTATAAAGGTATTTCATCTTAGTACCCTGTTTACTCTTTTGACGTTAAATTTAAGAGAAAATGGACACTACTAGGTTGAACTTTATTTTGCAAAAATGCCTCGGTACGAAAGGCTTACTTTATTCCGTTTAATTCATTCCCCATTGATTCATTCCATAACAATAGTATCGCATTTGAAGAAAAAAAACCCTTAGACGAGAGACTGCTAGCTAGGAAACGTAGTTCATGACCTCCTTATTCAAGATGGTTTTCGGGCCCTTCGCAAATGAAGAGGTCAGAATAGATTAGTGTACTTAGAAGGCATATAAAAATTGCTTAGCTGGATAAGGAATGAGTTTTCAAACGCGACTTACTTTGTCTTATATGTTCTCATTCTAAATGATGATTTCGTTTTGCGAACCGCTCTCACCGAATCCCCCATTACTTCGTTGAAATTGAACACCTCTCAAACCAAAGAACAAAAACTACGCTCTGGTTGGTGCGAGATACATACCCTAAATGCGGCGATCTGATTGGTGCGAGATACATGCCCTAAACGATCTGATTGGTGCGAGCAACATACCACTCTCCGCATGCTAACTTAGATGTTATTTTTTTAATAAAAAAAGTAACTCAAAAATTAATCGATAGAGGCATTGTGCATGCGTGTACTGAAAAATGATCAATCTTAGCCCAACAGTAACAATCCATCAGTGAAAAAAAAGCTTCACTACTAACTGGCTTATACCTTAATCAAAATAGTGCAGAGCAAAGGAAACAAATAATCATGAGATGTACTGCACCTTCCTTGAACTATAAACTAACAATCAGTACCTAACAGTAAGGATTCCTCAGCTAAAAGCTTTGCTCCTAACTGGCATATACCTTAATTACAATAGTATAGAGCAGAGGATAAAATTAGTCATTAGATGCATTGTTCCTACATATTCATTGACTGCAGTACTTTAAAGGAAAAAACATGTGCTATAACTGATCAATATACCAAACAGTAAGTAAGGATTCCTCAGCTGACATATTCACTCCTAACTGGCACAGTAGTGTAAAGCAAGAGAAAAAATTAAGCACTAGAAGTAGTGAACCTACAGTACTCCAAAATGATTAATCAATACCTTACAATAAGAGTTACTCAGCTAAAATCTTCACTCTTAACTGGCATATACCTTGATTACAGTGGTGTTAAGCAAAAGAAAAAATTTATCATTAGAATCATTGCGTATACTTGTACTTTGAAACGATCAAATCTGAGCATAAAAGCGAAGATTCATCAGCAAATGAGGCTTCACTACTTACCTACGTTCATCACAATAGTGCAGACCAAAGGGAAAAATAATTATAAGATGTACTGCAACAACATGTACTGTAAATAATCAATCACTGCCTCATTCCCAAATAGCAATTTCCTCGATTTCAGTGTTGTAGAGCAAGGGGAAAGAATAATCATTAGAAGCATTGCACCCGTATATAATGTAGAATAATCAATCAATGAAATGATATGAAATGGTCTCACTTGTGCCATTTCATATCTGTACCATCTAGTTAAATGGTTTAATATATATATAAATCTATCTATCTACATGGTAAGAAGTCTGTGTTTTGATTTTTCCGTTGTACAGTGCTCGATACGTGGAAGTAGAGCGCGATATGTATTGAGATAGGGAAAAAAACAAACAGACTATAGAGACTAGACTCGTCGTTAGGGAAATATCAGGCTATGCAAATGGACTGGAGGAATTAGCAATTAGTGAAATACCTTTGCAAGTGTAATGGCAGCCTCAGTTGTGGAAAATATGTTGTATGGTTGCGTTGTTTTTCCAAAGCTGGCCACATTATAAAGGTGACGTTACTCTCTTTTTCTTTTAAACCAAATAATGGGTTCTCATATCTCCGTAGATTTATAAATTGTGTGACCATAATCAACCTCATATAGGATTATAATCATCTTACAAGATATTTTAGTTTGTTACCTGAATTTATTTAATAAATTGGCAACCTTAAAGAGTTTCTAAAGTTGACGATGATACTGTAAGGAATAAGAATTACGATTAAAAGACATATATTTTTTTACCAGAGCTCTTAAGTTCCACAGTTTCTCTAGAAACTTATCCCCTTCATTCATTTAATGATTACCTTGGTTTGCCTTATTTCAGATCAACCATTATGTAAAATTGCCTATATAAGCTTAGCAGGACAACAAGCAGCGAAACTAAGAATGAAAAAGGCTATCTTAAACTTTTCTTTCTTGCATCCCTTCTCCTCACTCTCTTTTAAAACTCCCAGAAAGGAGCCAGCAGTGCAGGGCAGAAGTGAAATTATTAAAGTTGTCGAGAACCACTGAGCATGGAATGGTATATGGGTTGAGTAACTGAGGTTGCATGAACATTAACGTCAATTGTGATTTTATTTCAATCTAACATCTGTATAACAAGTTATTAATCCTATGCATCGAGTCAGTTTTCAAAATATGGTATTTCATTCGGTTTTTTAAAATACTTAAATAGTTAATTCCCTGTGAACTGAAAATCCCGATAGTTGCAATCATAAATAAAGGGCCAGTCTACGTACGCGTAAATTAAGATATTTTCCTGTTGGAAAGAAGGAAGCTTGAGTTTTCGCTTTCTAAATTCTTGAATTATTTTGTTTAGAAGCGAGTGACCTCAGTGCAAATGAACCTGCAATCATACCCAGTACGCTTAGGCCGCCTGTGCACGAGCCAACCTATTGGTACAAAGACGGTTTTAGTCCCTTTTTTTTTATGCATTAAAGATGCCATTTAACTCTTCTCCGACAATGAACCCGTTCTCTGCTGTTCTTTTGATCTATTCTAGTTAAGATGATAACTTAATGTGGTCTTTTTGAGCCTCTAAATTATCCAGTGAAATATACGAAATGCAATATGTTTAACTGTAGGTACAATTTCTTGTCATTTTATTCAGACAATTCGGATGTCGAAGATGGTTCTCCTCCTCAATCTTCCGGCTCAGACCCTGAAAGAAACAAAGCGATAGCAGGTAATAATGTTTAATTTTTGGTACAATGTTTTAAGAAAATGCTTGCTTAAGAGTTTTTTCAAGTAGCAAGGAGAAAATTAATTTCAAAATGTGTCGAATATTTTGTGTTGGTAGCCCTTATTACCGAATATCATGGCTAAAAGGCACATTTCTCTAACCAAAGTATAAAATACAAGTGATGCCGGGTAACGAGAAGGGAGGGAGGAAGAAAGAGAAGTACAAAGAGAGAGAGGAAAGGAAAAATTGAGGGGAGGGGAGGGAGGTATGTGATGGATGGAAGGAGAGAGTGAGAGAGGGAGGCAGATGGGGAGGGTGGAGGAAGATGGGAGAGAAGGACAAAGGGATGGATGGAAGGAGGGAGGAAAATAAGAAGAAGGGGAGGAGGATAGAAGAAGGGGAGAGAAATCAAAGGGAGAGAAGTAGCAACCTCATATGTGATTTGATCATCTTACAAGATATTTTGGTTTATTAACTGAATTTATATTGTAAATTGGCCACCTTAAAGAGTTTGTGAAGTTGACGTTGATACTGTGAGGATTAAAAGTTACGATTAAAAGATATAGTTTTTGGTTCTGGAGCTCTAGAGTTCCACAGTTTCTCTAGAAACTTACCCCCTCAATTCATTTAATGATTATCTTGGTTTTCCTTGTTTCAGACTACCTATTATGTAAAATTGCTTATATAAGCCTAGCCAGTACAACAAGCAGCGAAACTCAGAATGAAAAAGGCCATCTTACATGCTTGTTTCTTGAATCCCCTCTCCTCATTCTCTTTCAAAACTACGTTATTCTTTCTACTTCCCAATCCCTCGCTGTTAGTCGAATATGCATTGAGCATCTGTTGTCTATACATATGTATTTTTGTTCGAAAGGAAATCTGAGCATGAGAGAACCTCCAAAGCTTAAAGAGAAACTGAGAGTGCTTGAGATGGAGGATCTCCCCCCAACTACAACGCCTTGGAAAGATATCAAAGAAAAATTCCTGCCTGTTGATTTTCTGCTATTAACAGCAAAGGAATGTGAACTCGTAAGCTGCCTCTCCTTTCTCAAAGACATTGAGAGGGGTTACGAAGACAAGCTCGGCCATGCGTATTTCGGGTTTAATAGCTCAAAATTGAAAATTGCCGTGATTCGATGCTCAAAGGGCGCCGCCGCCTCAAGTGGTGCCATAGTTGTAGTCCAAGGTGCGGTTCCAATCTTGAGGCCCAAAGCGGTCATCTGTGTGGGTTATTGTGCCAGCTTGGACGAGAAGAAAGCGAAGCTTGGTGATGTCATTGTATCTGCAAAGTTGATAACCTACGCTTTAGTCAAAGTGAGGAAGGATGGGATCGAAGAACGCGGCCATGTTGTTCCTCCACAGCAGCGTATGGCTAAACTCATCAATGATGTCGGGGCAGGTTGGAAAGCACCTCTAAAAAAACCAAAAGACCTAAAAGTGACAGTACGCAGTGATGGCGAGCTACTCAGTGGCCCTACTGAGCTTGATAACCCAGAACTTCGGCGAAAATTAAAGAAGCGATTTCCCCGAGGAACTGCCATCGAGATGGAAGGCGAAGGTATTGTCTAAAGTACTCCATAACTTTATTTAGAACCCTTGATCCCATAGACGCTATTGCAGAAAAAAGTAATCTACTTAAGTTGTAATAATTTATCGTACATTTTTCTTTTAGCCAAAAGTGCTGCGTACCATCAGCAGTTCTATATATTTTATCTGTTGTGTACTGTTATTGATAAGCAAGCAAAGCGTGCCTTCTTGGGGTTTGCACGCTGGAATAAATCGATGATTTATTGACATGACACGTACAACATAACTAAAGATACATGCTTAAGACTAAAAGTTCTGTGCAAATATGTGGAGGAAAAGATAAAAAATAGTTCCCCTAAATCCTTGAAGATTTGCGCACAGTACTGAGCACAAGCATTGCAACGAGTCGTCAAAGTTTACAATTCGTTCCTCCGATATTTTAACAAAACCACTGCGTTTTAGTGTGTTTCAACAGAATTTCAACTCCTCTTTAGGTCTCTACGCAGCCGCTCATAACCATGGAATTGAATGGTTAGTTATCAAAGGAGTTTCAGACTTCGGCGATGGTAGCATATCTGCTACTAGTCCTTGGAGGCCATTCGCAAGTGTGATGGCAGCTTCACTTGTTGCGCATATGCTAAATGACAGTAATGTGTTTGAGAAATGGCCCCACTATGAAAGTAAGTAACTCTGATGAATGATAATTCGTGTTACTTTATGAGAATCACTTTTGTTTGTTTCTCACCTTTCGGGTGCATGCTGCTAGAATTCATTGGTCGACTGACTACCCACGACCTACAAGACGTGATTCTCTGCCGCGATTGGTCTATCTTTTATTAGCCGTTGGTCGAATATGCATAAAAAATCTGATGTCTATACATGTGTATTTTTGTTCGTTCTTAGTTTGGGAGGAGCCAGTCAGGTATCAAAAAGTATACTTTGTGTTTCCTATCTATCTCCATCCCCCGCGCGCTGCTTCTCCCTCTCCCTTCCTACCCTGACCATGAAAACTTTGCGATAGGGAGGATGGATGACAAAAATCTTGTCCAAGAATCATAAAGAAAAACTTCAGGCATTTTATTCACTGGTTAGTCAATTCATCCAATAGCCTTTTAATCCTAGAACAAGTCATTTTTTTCTTATCAAAGGCAAACTTATAGTACTTTCTTGGTGCCAGCCATTTGGCACTCTTGACGCAGATGAGTACACAGAGAGCATGAGGGAAGATCTGTGCAATGTTTAATGGAGTCTCGGGAAGTAAATGGAAGAATTGTCACCGTAAACACATTGTAGGGGGAAGGTTATTTAAGACTGACTGTTACGCATTCATCACATTCTTATCTTGTTTTTTCAGATAAATCAAATCGAAAGAGACGCTCGTCGACTCCTGATTATACGAAAGCAAAGGTGACCAGAGGTAATTACCCTTCGTAAAGTTTCTAAAGTCTTGATTTGCATGCAGATACTTTCAGAATATCTGAAAGTATCTCAGAAAACCATGGCGCTCTCAAGTACCGTTTATCGTTTTTAAAACAAGTCATAAAGATAATGTCCGCTTTCTTGTACCCATTGAATCAATCATTCAACACCATTTCTCGGAAGAGACTGATGTTTCTGACGTTCAACATTGGGAGGGGTGGAGTTGACCTCCACAAAACGGTTGAAGACTTGAATATACACAACCCTCATTTATAGCAGAGCTATGACAGCATTAGGACAATTATAACTTTTGCGTTATTTGACACGCAGTGAGAATGTCAAGAACAAAAGATTACATATTTTCCTATTAACTGCGGCTAATTGTGGCACTCCCGCAAACTACCGCGTAAATGAGAAGATATGGACGTCGCCTGGGATTCGAAGCAAGTTGCTTAAAGAGTTTGTGATTGTGGGTGGACCTCATTACCAAAAATTGTGACTAAATATTTTCACCTTCATTAAAACAAGTCATAAAAATTTACATCCCTTAATCCCAGCCACCAGAAAAATCTCATGACGGCTCCATGACATTCCCTACTGATTCATTCCATAGCAACAGCATTGCATTTGAGGAAAAAAATGGTACTTATGACGAGAGGCTGCTTCCTAGAAAACGTGGTTCATGACCTCCATGTTAAAGATGGTTGTAGAGCCCTACGCAAATGAAGAGGTCAGAATAGATGAGTCTGGAAAGCTATTTAGGCAGTTTGTCTTGAGGAAATTCCTTTTTTCCCATACTAAAAATGACTCTTGCTGAAGCCTGGCAGTCCTAAAGCCCAACGATTCGATATCGAATGATAAAAAAAAAAAGAGAAATCACCTTTCGCCACCACTGCTCGCCATTCGCCAGATGCTTGAAGCACCTTTTTCTAATTATTTTCCTTCTCCATCCATTATTATCCTCAGCTTAATTTGGTCAAGGCCAGTGGACCATCAGTAGACGAGTTGGAAGATCTGTCTCTGGAACTTGGAAATAATTAGGAGAAATTAGAAGGACGCCTGGGATTCAACCAAGCCGCAATAACTTGCTTTGATGAAGATTATAGAGGGCTGAAAATGAAGGCTTTTAAAATTTTTTAACATTTGTTTTAACATTTAAAACAATGCCAAGCTATTAAAATAGCTTGGCACGGAAAGGAAGGCGCAGATGCCACTTACAAAGTTTTGTACGATGCCTTGTGCGACAAAAAGGTGCAATGCAAATGTCTTGCAGAACAGTTTTGTTGCGAATAAGCTTGTAAAAATGGCCTGTCCTTAGTACTCTACTTGAAAAGATTGAGTCATTTCTATATTGCTTTATATGTCTGTCTGAGTACTACATAGAGCATCAACGAGCTTTCGCACCATGTAAGTAATTCATTTTCCTTGTCCTTGATGATATAGAAAAAGTAGTTTTAGAGAATAGATATTTACTGCTAATTTTTACTAAAGAACCGCTTGCCAAAGAACATCAAGAGGTTAGAATTCATTCAATTGTTCAGGACATGCTGAGTACATTCCCACCCTGAAGTATCTTAATCAACCCTTCACACTTCAACATTAGAATACATATTCTCCTTTCTAATCACTATGCATTTCCTATGGAACTGACAAGGAGAATTGGTTTAGCAATAATAACCTCTTTAGGTTGCTGATCATTTCCTTTATTCTCGCGACCGTAATTGTTGATTCAGGAGTGATACTGTTGGGAGAAATTAGATGCTAGTCACTGTTTTGGTTTCGATTTAGTATAGGGTTACGCTTTCCTTTGGTGGATATGCATAAAATGTATAACGGCCTTAGCATTAGGTTTGCAGAAGCTGGTTGTTATTTGCGGAAGGGCATTAAAGATCAAATATATTATTTCCCTTCTTCAGACTGAAATGCTATGACTCTTTTTGGTTCATAGGGGTTTCATCTCATCGAAAGCTTACCCCCAACGGTTCGCCCCTACTACGACAAGTTTTTTCCATTAAATAGAAAAAATTTGCCATCGCGCTTTTCCAAGCAATGACATCATCCCTGAACAGATAATCCAGAACAAAAATTAGTGAAAAATTGTAGTCCGCCATTTCTCGAACAAATCATAAACAAGTCGGTAAAGCTGAATAATACTTATTTTTTTAGTGATATTTGTCCAGGCCGAAAAACTGGACCGTCCTGCCAACGGTATAATGAATCATAACCGCTTTGAAAGAATCGTGTAAGAGGTAATGCATTGCATTTTCCTAAACAGATCTAGGAATACTTTTCTGAGAGGAGGACTGACGCTAACCAATCATCCATTCATTACATAGCAAGAGTACAAGTCACAGTTCCTTTAAAAATTATATTGCCGCAACATTGATTGCACTTTTCTTAATATATTCAGTTAAGAATGGCAAGCCCAGTAACGAAGAATTAGTGCAAATGTCGTATAACATCGCTAAACATTGAAAGCCACTTAGACGACGTCTAAAACTTAACTGGGGAACCAAGGCTGGTTGTTTTGACTAAGAAAATGAAGAATGTAGTGAAAAGGCATATAAATGTTGGTAGATAAGGAAAGAGGTTTCAAACGTGATTTACGTTGTCGTATATGATGCCTCGTGTCATCCATGGAAAACTCGTCGGGATCTGGCAGGAAAAAATTTTCTTTGAAAGAGAGAATTAAGTGAGTTTCAGCTACTGCTGCGAATAAGTTTGTGAAATAAGTACAAAAAAGATCAACATTTGTCCAAACATGATCCATTTACTTTAATAGCGAGTTGGTGTTTTGTATATATATATTTATATGTATACTTAGGCTGAGTAAGGAAACCGGTCATTATTTATCGCCGGGGGTCTCCTTGATTTGGATTCGCTCTGTAGCAGATAAGCATAAACTTAAAACAAACTCGTCCTTTGTAATGGTCGCGCCAATTTTTTTTTTTTCTTTCACACAGTGAACAAGTCCTTGTCCACCAGCATGGATTTGAGCTGTAGTATGTCAAAGAGGTATTATTGTTTTTATTACATCATGATAAGGGGGTAATGAAGTGAAATCGTGACTATATTGTGAAGGAAAGTAGAGCTTGCTGTAAGAACTATCATCGATGTTAATTGAAGGCAGGGGATTTCTACGGAAGTTTTAATTCGTAAAAAAAATCGTTCTTGATAAAATTACGAACCCTCTACTCCGCAGAAAGAAGTTGTCTAAACTGTAAAACAAGTTGATGGCTTTATTCGAATTTTGAGGCTTCTACCTCAGGCAGATATATTCGTGAACAACTTCGATCATTTGCTAATGAATACTGTAAAAGTGGGAATAATTCATACAATATACATGATTAAAAATGAAACAAAAGTGAAAAATAACGTTCGACTATGAAGTCAAAATATGAGATTCCAGTTCATTTAACTGCCTTTAAGCCTTAAAACAATATGCAAAACCCTGGTGTGAGCGTAAATATCTCTAACACACCAACTCATTATTCAAGTAGATGGATCATGTTTGGACAGATGTTGATCCTTTTTCTCCTTATTTCACAAACTTATTCGCAGCAGTAGCTAAAAGTTACTTGATCTCTCTTTGAAAGCAAATTTTCCCGCCAGATCCTAATGGGACACAGGGAGTCATATAAGACGAAGTAAGTCGCGTTTGGAACCTCTTTCCTTATCCAGCAACATTTATATGCCTTTTCACTACTTTCGGTCACAATATAGCCACGTCTTTACTGCATTACCTCTTTGTAATAATATAGTCAAAACAATAATAGCTCTTTGACATACAACAGCACAAATCCATGCTGGTGGACAATGCTTAAGTGCCACTCTCGCTACGAGCGGTCCTCTCGACTACCCGTCGGAAAAACGTTTTCTTTTATTTTTTGCCCATGAAAAGGGTTTAGGACATGTTTCAAAAATCGTTTAGTTGTTCTCCAATTCTCTTTTTTTGCGTCGCCACAAGCCAAAAATGATTTGTGGCTAGGCCACCCCTGTGGACAGCGATCGAAGGTGTAAATTTCAAAGATTTTGTCCAGCGCGCAGCGACTGCAACAATGTTGCTCACGGAATTCTATCTTGCTACAAGTTACAAGGTGTATTCAGTTAGTTCACAGACAAATATGGAAACTTCAGCTGAAATATTTTTCATACCAGCGTGATCAGAGGAGACCGTTCTCTTCGACCTTAATTTGCATATCAAAAAGTCACTACTTTTTACGAAAGAATTATCAAAATGCAGGCGTTAATCGGGCTGAAAAAGCATAT